CTGGGCTCAGGATGGGCATGGGATGGACCCCTGGCCCCAGGGCTGCCCCTCTCCCTGCTCTGGACAGAGGCCCCAGCATCCCTCGGCAGGCAGAGCCTGGCTGTGCTCCCCCCAGTACCAGGGCTGCAGTTTGGCCGTGGCTGTCACTGGGACCAGCGCTGCCACCCCATCTTGAGGGCCCTGTTCTAGCTTGTGGGTTGAACTGGGCATGTCCCGAGTAACAGACACCTTGGGGTGTCTGTCCAGAGAGTTCCCTGCCTCGGGGGAGCTTACCCCCAAGTACCCCTTGCACCCTGGGGGCTCTATGTCACTCAAGATGTCCCCTGGGGCAGTGCACCCCCACAGACAGGCAGGCTGCAGCTATGTGGACAGAGACTGGCCACAAGTCGATCTTGCCTCTCCAGGGCCCAGCCAGAATCCCTTCACCCCCACGCCAGAGCCTCGGGAGCCCAAACCTGGCTCCAGGGTGGCAGCTGTGGGAGCAGGGGAGAGAGGGAACCTCCAGCCGAAGCCTGGGTTCCCGTTACCATGCCCAGCTCCAGCCCCTCCCCATGTCCCCCTCTGGGGACAGATGCCTGGCTGGGGAAGGCCACAGCAGCTGGGCTTGGCTCGGGAATCAATGCTCACCCCCCAGCATCACTGCGCGAGCCCAACTAGGTCTCTCTTGGACGGCGGGAGCACCGTGTGCTGCAGCCTGTGGTACCATATGCTCTATCCCCTACACACACGGGACCACCAGGACAGGGACACTGGGGGCCACACCCCAGCCCTGGCCCGGGCCCACTGGTTGCCCACAGCCTTCCTGAGGCTAGGCCCAGGTCCGGGGTGCAGGCACAAGAAGGGCCTGGCTGCCGTCCTCCGCAGGCAGGCAGGTTGCCCTGCGCATCAATGATTGATGTCTGCCTGCAGCAGCTGCAGCAGTGTAAGCAAAAATAGCCCAGCCTGGTCCCTGCCCCGCCCCAGCCCAGCCGCAGCCTTGCCCCCAGCCCAGCCCTGTGCCCAGTGGGAGGGAGCATCTGGGACCTCCTCAGCAGCCGCCTGCCCCCACCATGGGCCCTCAGTCCTTTGCACAGAGGGCAGGAGAGGGCTCCAGGCTGCTGGTCTGGCGGCTAAGGACTGCCGTGAACGGGGGGGGGGCACTTGTCCACCCTGCACCCCTCTTGCCTGACCACACCAGCCAGCCCCTGACCTCTAAGTGCCTCACTCTCCCCCAAAGCTGAGTGCTTGTGTCAGGCCTGGGCGTTGTCCGCAGGCCCCTTCTCTGCACCTGCGCAGCTGGGTCAACAGCAGGCTCTCGGGAAATGGACCGGCGGGGCCTGTCAGGGAGCTGAGCTCCCTCGTCCAATCACAGGGTTGGTTTCTTTCAATCCACTGTGCCCCGCCAGCCCCTCTGCCGGTGGACTCAGCAGTGGGCCAGTCTGGGGTCGGGGGCAGCAAACTCGGATGCTGCAGCCTGCAAGCCCGACTGCTCCTGCTGCCTGGACGCCACAGGCTGACAGAAGTGGGGACACGCATTCTCTCCGACTCGTCCGAGGGACTCCGGCCTGAGGACCCCAGAGGAGCAGGATGTCTGGGTGCTCCTGGGGCGAGGGACCTTTCCCCAGCCAGTCTTTGCTCCTCAGGTGATGCTGGGAGACGCCAAGATGGCCAAGGGGCTCTGGGTGGGGTGGCACCTGCCCAGGACTGAGGCTGGCCCCTTCCTCCAGAGGCTGGGAGAGGGGAAGCTGCCTCCCACCCTGTTCAGCAGGGCTGGGGCTCAGGGGTGGCTGGAGTGGAGAGAAAAATGCAGGTTGCCTACCACATAGCAGAACTGAAGCGGCCTGCGTAGACAGGCCCCGCTGCTCTAGAGCAGCTTTGGCTGTCCTGCGGGGCCTTTTCACGAACTGTAATACTGAAGTCCCTGCCTAGTAGGACATGGGAATATCATTAGCAAAACATAAGTTGCATGAAGATACCATGTAAAAACCTTGCATCACCAATGGGGAAGGGATTTAAGGCAACTTCCCAGGTGGGCAGATGCGGATTTTGCTAGCAAGATCCTGAGGAAGAATTCCTGTGCCGCCAAGGAGCAAGTGCCCCAGTAAGTAACCCCCGAAAAACTCATCTACCTCCTCAGCTGACCTGTCCGAGTCACCCTCTGGTCTCCGGTTCCCTCTCAGTTTGGGGGGCAGTTTTTCTTTATTGTCCTGGGACTTTGCTGAAATACGGAGGTAGCCAGAGAGGAGCATGGGAGGGCCACATGGGCTCCTGCTCCTGACCACCCTGCACCTGCTCCCTGCATGGCCCCGCAGGGAGTCATGGCCTGTAGCCTACACCCCAACTTTAATGGGGTCCCACCCCCTTGGGCCCAGTCTCCCCCAACAACTGGAGCCATTAAACTTCAGCAGCAGCCTGCTCTACCCACCAACTTGGAGGCCTGGACTGTGCCCCATGTGGCTGTTCCATGGACAGGACAGTTGCCCAGACACTGCCCAAGGAGCAGGGGCCTCCCACCCACTACCTGGGCTGTCCCCAGCCTCCTGCAGCCAGGGCGGGTGACCAACATCGGGTCAGCTCTGCCTCCCCAAGCAGTACCTCTTAGTGGGGTAGCCAGGTATACTAGTTTCCTACTGCTGCTGTAACAGAATACTGCAAATGTAACAGCTAAAACATACAGGCTGGGCACGGTGGCTCACGCCTGTAATCCCAGCACTCAAGGAGGCTGCGGTGGGAGGATCGCTTGAGGTTGGAATTCGAGACCAGCCTGAGCAAGAGCAAGACCCCATCTCTAGCAAAAATAGAAAAAATTAGCTGGGCGTGGTGGCGAACGCTTGCAGTCCCAGCTACTCGGGAGGTTGAGGCAGGAGGATCACTTGAGCACAGGAGTTTGAGGTTGCCGTGAGCTATGATGATGCCATGGCACTCTAGCCCCGGCAACAGAGCAAGACTCTGTCTCAAAAACAAAACAAAACAAAACAGAAAACAAACAGTGCATTTATTCTCTTCCAGTTCTGGGTGTTGGCAGGGTGGTGCTCCTTCCGGACGCTTCAGGGAAGACCCATCGCCTGTCTTCCTCAGCTTCTAGGGGCTGCCTGCAGTGACCTGCACCACTCCAGCCCTGCTTCCATCTTCCAGCTCTCTTTAAACTCTGTCTCCTTCCTGTAAGGCCCCTGTGCCTACGCTGGGCTCCCCCACAGAAGCCAGGACGAGCTCTGCATCTCAAGATCCTTAACTTAATTTAATCATGCCTGTAAAGTCCCTTTTACCTGGGAAAGTAGCATAGTCACAGGTTCTGGGGATTAGGACACAGACATCTTTGGGGAGCAGTACTCAGCCATTAGCCCAACCTCCGGCCTGTGGGCTGAGAGCTGAAGCCCGAGGAGGCTGCTTAGTTCCTGGGTGGCTTCCCCCTCCAGACCCCCTGGGGGCACAATGCTCTCTACCCAGAAGCCAGGCCCAGATGCGGGTGGGGGCTGGGGACAGGAGAGCTGCTGCAGTCCCAGCTCTGCTGCTCACACAGGCCTTCTGGCCTGGCCTCAGTCTCCCCACCTGCACACACGGACAACACTCCCCCTACCTCCTTTCCAGCTCCCTGGACCTCAAAGATGGCAAGGACAGTAAACGAGGGACGCGGACCCGCTGGGGCCTGCAGGCAAGCTGAGGCAGTGTCTGCAAACCCGGACGCTGTCTGGTCACCACCCTCAGGGTCACCGCGGGTGCTGGCGGTGGCCGAGCCAAGGCCCAGTCCTGGGCCGTCTGACCGCAGAGCTCCCACACTGCGTTGTCTGGCTGTTCTGCCCCTAAGAAAGGGGAGGCAGGAGGCCAGGGTCTAGGGTGCAGAGAATGATCTCATCTTCTCATTTTTGAAATTAAAATTTTCAATAGCTTGGCTGAGAAGGACCAGGGAGGGAGTGGGTGATTCATACAAGAAGGACAGGGACCAGACAGGGAGGTCGCAGGGAGGGAGGGAAGTGAGCCTGCAGGTAGACTGGGGGTGGGCGGTGTGGATTAGGGCTCCCAGGGCCTGGCCCTCCCCTTGCCCACAGGAAGGTGGCCTTGGGGGCCAGTGCGGAAAGGCCGGGGCGGGGCTGGAGTTAAGGCCACTCAGGTTGACGTCAAGAGACTGGGGGTGGGGCAGCTGGGAAAGGCCTGGAAGCTGCAGGGGAGATGGCGGGAGGGAAGGGCCCTGCCCGGGGGATGGCTAGTGACCCGTCTGCGGGCAGGACGTGGCCCGGGGGCAGGGCGGCACCGCTCCTCCCGCCCCGCAGGCAGCGGACCCCCATCCCCGAGGAGCTGCGGTCAGGGGCCCCACCGCGCAGGCAGCCCCACGGCGGCCGGGCCGGGACGCGGGCAGGAGCGCCCGCTCTCACTCTTGGGGCCCGGCGGCTCCACGTGGGGGTGCATCGGGAGCGCGCGGAGACTTGGGGGCTCCCCGCAACTGAACACGAGCCACGCTCGAGAGCGCGGAGACTTGGGGGCTCCCCGCAACTGAGCAGGAGCCACGCTCGGGAGCGCGGAGACTTGGGGGCTCCCAGCAACTGAGCAGGAGCCACGCTCGGGAGCGCGGAGACTTGGGGGCTCCCAGCAACTGAACACGAGCCACGCTGGGGCCGTTACGGAGGCGCAGAGCGCGACAGCCGCTCACTCAGGGCCCGCACGACCGGGCGCGGCTCGGGGATTCCCGTAGGGTCGGGGCCGAGGGGGAGGGGCCGGGACAGGGGCGGGGCCGGATGTGGCCACGCCCCGGGGCGGCGTGCTGACGCCACGCGGCGGACGCCGGTCGGGCGCGCACCGTTGCCGGGCAACGCGCCGGCGCCGGGCCGAGGGGACGCGAGCTGCCCGCTGCGCCCGGCCGGGCCCCGCGGAGGCGGCGACGCGGCGGCGGAGGTGGGTGCGGGGCTCGGGCCGCGCGGGGACCCTCGGACCGCGGCCGGCGAGACCTCGTAGCCCCCGCGGGAGGAAGCCCGGCCCCGGCGGCGCGCTGCGTGCGGTCGTGCGGGCCCCGCGGCTCGGCGGCGCGCATGTGTCCTGAGCCGCTTCCCGGCCGCTCTGCGCGCCCCGGCGGCTCCGAGATGCAAGGCCGGCGGGAGCGGGGGGCACAGTCGTGGGGCGGCCGCGCAGGGGCAGCGGGCGACGGTTCCCTCCGAGAGGCTCCGGGGAGGCCGAGTGGTGGCGACGTGGGATGGGCGAGGACCCGCGCCAGCCCCCTCCTGCGCGACGAGAAAGCCAGCATCCCCAGGCCCGGCGAGGGCTCCACCTGCACCGCCGGCCGCCGGGACCCCGGGGAACACGGCACCTGGGGGGAGTTCGAAGGCTTCCGGGAATCTTCGGCCGAGTCCGGACAGTTCTCTCGGTCCCTTCAGCTCCTGCAGAGACCCACAGAGCCTCAGCCACCGAGAACCGCTTCTGCCCCAGAGGAGTGTGGTTCCCCCCGGCTGTACCAGGGTGGACCTTGGGTGACAGGAGCCGCTGTCGTCCCACCTTCCGAGGTATTTCTAAGGTGCTTGTCGTCGCCACGTCAGTGGGAAGTGCTGTGCACGCCGAAAGCTTTGGTGCGACCCCCAGGGAGGGGCTGCCAGCCTTGGAGGGTCTTGTCTCTCCTGGCCTTCGTCCCTGGCCATGTGGTTACTGCCCTGGCCCCTGAGGCCAGGCAAGGAGTTGGCAGAGGAAGCTGCAGAAATGGGTCCCAGGAAGGCCAGAGGCGAGCCACCTGAGCCTCCGCTTTCTGCGACCCTCGTCCCCAAGCTGTCCGCTCCGCGGGGGTGGGCTGTGCTTTGCTGGCCCCAGTTCAGGGCCTGTGGGGAAGGAGCTTTTTGTCTGAATTCTGAATCCACAGAGATAGAAAGTCTCACACATTCTAAAATCACATCACAGTTCAGCTTGTGAGAAATGAATTGGTGCTGCCCGGGCCCCTGGCCCACTGGCTCTTTCTGAGCTGACTGCCCGGTGTTAACACTTTCGTGATGGCCTCCGAGCCTTTCTTTCTCGTCTTCCTTTTCTTCTGTTGCTCCTGTTCTCTGCCATCTCTTCCCAAATGGCTCATCCCAAACCCCATAAGAATGAAAGACAAGAACTGGAACACTTAAAGAAGGAAATAATGGTGCTGCTGGCTCTCAGGGCTGGACTGTTTGTTTCCCAAACCAGTCAGGGTTTCCCTGGACCCCTGACAGTCAGCTCTGCTATAATACTTATTTTGAAAACATGGTTGATTTATTAGGGAACAGTTTGAACTTAATTTGAATCTCACAAGAAACAGTAGGTGGATGCAGACAACTGCGCCCAGGAGAGAGGTATGTTGGAACACCTAAAACCTGCACCGGCACACTCAGACACCTGCCGGCACCACTGTTTACTGCGCCCATCCTCACCTGGCGCTAGGACCGCTAGGACCGCGGGGTTCAAACAGCCCTCCTCCCACCACTTCACACAACTCAGCCAGGAGGCCTCCAAGGGCAGTGCTGCGTTTATTGTTGTATGCGAGGACTCTATAACCAAGTAACGTGGAAGGCAGTGCTAACGCAATGAGGAGGCATCTCTTCTCATGTGACACTGATGAAGTTTGAATGTAGTGCCCCATTTTCCCAGGAGGCCTGTGTGTCTGGGTGACTCTGCACAACATGGTGATTTTTAGGAATGAATGGGGCAAGTGGTGGTGGCACTAACGGTACAATCACAGATCTCATTTGTACCAAAATTATTTATTTGGAATAAGGTAACACAATGTGTGTACTTCTCCTAAATTTAATATGTTTTCTTTTTGTTTTCAGCCCATTCTCAGCTATGAGGACATTTTTAAGTTTGCTTTTCAAGAAGTAACAGTCCCACAGGCAACTGAAGATGTTTCCGCCTTACACCATTTTCTAGAAATAAGCAGTGAAGAAAAGCCTGGCCTTGAATCTGTACATAAATTTTGGTAATGAACTTAAATTGGAACTGTTTCTTATAGCAACTTAGCATTTGTACTTCTGTTTGATAAAAGCAAGCGTGGTTTCGTTTTTACCTTTATGTAGAGCATCATCTCTGCTGCAGCCCCTGCCATCTGGGGGTGGTAGGGGCCCCCCGAAGAGTAGGCAGCATGGTTGAGGCTCTAGCTGTGGCCCCTCCTCTCTGAGCCCATGTTCACTCACAATCCCCTCTACCAGCTCCCCCGGAGCAAGTGGACCCAAGAGCCAGCGCCTGTCTCATCGCCAGCGCTGGGGGCGGAGGGCGGGGGGCAGAGGAGCCTCCTAGGGGACTTGGCTGGGCGATCCTCAGCAGCAGTTACGGAAACCCCCCGGGCGCGGCGGAGGCCGCCCAGTGCTCTGGGGCTCCGGCTCCACCCTGGCAGCCCCAGGGCTGGTGTGAGGGGACTCGCAGGGGCGGCTGTTTGCAGATGGCCACTTTCTAAGGACACGCTGTCAACTGAACTGCGGAAGAGCAGCCGTGCTAGAGCGGATTGCGCAGCAGTGGTTGAGAGGCTCGAGACGCGCTGGCCCAAGGCCCCAGAGGGAGGGAAGCGAAGGCTGGAGTGAGCTGGCGTCCCGTCCCCCTGCGCGGCTGTGGAGCGGGTCTCCCAGCCCAGTCGGCGTGCAGTGGCAGCCTACACGTCTGAGCTCTGGCCCTTCGAGGCCTCTGCTGGGGTCCGATGTGGTCTAACCCAGTGCCTGCCCCAGGGCACTCTCCGCAGGGGCCTGGGGACGGAGGCCTGAAGCCCAGAAGGCTGCAGCCAGCGTGCCCTCTGCTCATCCCTGGGGAGAAACTGCCAACAGTGCAGCCCCCGTGAGCTGGGGAGGGGCGCTGACGTGCTGACTTGCCTGTCTGAGCAGCGCCAGGCTGGGGGCCCAGAGGCTTGGGACGTCCTGGCTGTCGAGATCGGGCAGGCTGGACACTCGAGACTCAAGGCTGAGTATTACTCTGGGGGAGCAGGACACTTAGCGCGTTCGGAGACACTAGGGTGTTTTTGGAAATGACTCGACATTTCGCACGTCCTGTCTCCTACGCCCGTTATCCCTCCCCTGCCAGAGTGAGCTTCCCACAGGCAGACCCCTCTCCCATCCCCCACGGTACGCAGAGTCACACGGCACGTGGCAGACGCCCACCGTGTGTGTCACTCATTCTTCCAAGCGTTCATTGCCCTTGTAGCTTGTGAGCGTCTGTTCTGTGCCCAGCACAGTTCTAGGCACTGGAGTGACAAAACTAGCACAACACCTGGCCTCGTGGCGCTTGCACTCCTTGGAGGAGACGGCACCAGCTGCCGGGGGTGGGCTCTGTGGGGAGACGCCGCAGGGAGGGGAGGCAGTGGCGGCGGAGCAAATGTAAAAATGAACAGTAAACGAGACACCCGGTGCCCCTGGAGGGCGCGGTCTTGAGTGTCCTGGCGCCTCTGGCCGTGAGTCGCTGCGTGGATGGCAAGGCCGGGGCCCTCTGCATGCCTGAGGCGGCGTCCGCTGCTCTGTTCGGCAGGCTTGCACGGTCACCTTTCAGTGGCCGCGTCTGTTTTCCAGTTCGGAATCGAGAGCCCTGTGGAGAGCCCTTCAGAACACAACTGCCACGTCTGCGCCACGGCGCCTCCGGAGCGGATCCCGCTGCCAGGAAAACTACTTTCTTGTTCTCGGAATAGACGCTGCTCAGGAGGTAAGGTGGCCGGGGTTGGGAACGGGGCTCCTGGGAGTGTGGCTGGACTTGACTGCGGCCAGCCACCCTGCGGCCACAGCACACTTGGAGGCCATCTGCCCGGGACAGGGATGGGTGGTGGGGAAAACACACTGGTCTGCAGCAGGGTGCACCTGCCACCAGGACCTCGAGGTCTGAAGCCACTGACCTCTCAGAAGGGTGACTCTGGCTGGGGGACAGCGAGGCAGCGGCAGAGTGGTGAGGGGAGTGGGGCATTCTTTGGACGCCGGCGGCATGCCATGCTTAGACACCTGCCCTGTGCGAGGCTCCCGCTGGGGACGGATGTGGAGACCCAGTCTGCACGCAGGTTTGGGGCAGTGAAAGGGGCTGTGGCAGAACCCCCTTCAGTATGCAGCCTGCCTCAGCCTCCCGGGGAGCTCCCTTGGCGGGAGCCGCGGGACGGTGGAGAAGTCGGCAGGACGGAGGACGGGCAGGAGCCTTCCCTACTCGGGGCTGCCAGGGCAAGTCTGCAGCACAGGTGCTGACGGAGGTGGGGTGTGGGCCCCTGGGTGGGCACGCAGGAGGCGGGGGGAGGGGCGAGCTCCACCGTGGGCAGGCGCAGTAGGAGTCGTCGGTGTTTGGGAGCCAACACCTCTCAGAGCGGGGTGGCTGTGCCTGGCACGCAGCCGAGAGGTAGGTGGAGGTGTGGGGTCGCCTGGGCACGGGTGGGGTCGCAGCCGCGAGCTGGCCCCACACAGGTGTCCGGGCTCCAGGACGAAGCCCTCATGCCAGGGTGGGAAAGGCTCAGGGGGAGTGAGCTGGAGGCTGCGGCAAAGCACGTCACAGGCACACGTTCAAGCTCCTGGGTCCCTGAAGGTGATGCGGAAGATGCGGATTAGTGAGGGCCGCCTTCCGGCAATCCCGACGGCAGAGATCTTTTCCCGTTCTTAAATGACACGGAAATTTCCAAACCTGGGAAACTCACAAAGGGCCAGCCAAGCAGGCAGACCGGCCCTGGCAAAGACGGGCTTGAGAACGGTCGCCATGGTCGGTTGCCCATGGGCCACGCTGGGCTGGCCTGGAGGGAAGAGAGGCCCCGAGGAGGTCGGCCGGCTGCATCACGTTCAAGGAAGGGAGAACCAGCAGGCTGGGAAATGTGGGGGCAGCGCCCTCAGCAGGAGGCTCGGAGGCGGGACAGCTCCAGGCAGCAAGGCGAGGGCAGGGCGAGGGGGTGCGTTGTCCTGAGCTGGCCCTGAGGATGTCCTGCCGAGCAGGTCCCAGGGCCCCGCAGGGGAGGGGCCGTGAGTCAGTGGCAGGGCGGCCTGACCTCAGAGGGGCCGCGGTAACTGCGGTTTTGGAATGAACCGTAGTAGAGCGCTCAGGTAAGAGGAAACGGGAGGCTGACAGCTGCGCTCACTGGCCGGCAGGGTCTCTCTCCTCAGAGCCTCTCTGCAGGCCAGGGCCACGTCGCGGAGGGCTCCGACCTCAGAGAGCCTGAAGGACTCCTTGCTGTGAGCAGCTTCCGTCTCCACCGCTGCAAAGCCCTGATCCAGACCAAGGTGAGTGGTCTCCAGGGGGCCTCGGGCGGCCGTGCTGGCTGGTGTCTGCACTCACGTAGCCCCCCGCGCGTCTGTGTTGCAGCCACTTACTTTTCTTCCTTTAATTCTGTGCGCCTATGAAAAATGGACATGTCTATCTAGAGCAGACAGGCAAAGCATTAACACCACTGCAGGTGCCAAGGAATATAAATGTGCCACCCACAAAGACCGGCAGGACAGAGGACCGGGAGATGCGTGGGTCTCGTGGGAGAACTGGCAGGAGGCCGCTGTAGGAAACAGCTCAGACTGGCAGCTTCAGCCGCAGGCCACTGGGCCTAGCAGGCTGGCGGGGGCACCTGCGGGTCTGGTCTAAAGCTCCCACTGCGGAGTCACTTGGTCGCATCGTGAGAGCAGGGCTCGAGGGCAGGAAAGGGTGTTCTTCCTGCAGCAAGTGTTCTCCTGCCTGCCTTTCCGGGCGGGCTCTTGTTTGTGCCCACTCTTGGACCAGGTATTGCAGGAGGGACGAGGTGGCCAGGCCAGCTCACCTGGCTTCCTGCTCAGCCCAGGACCCCAGAGCAGTCGGGGCCAACACGTACGCCCAGCAGACGGGGAGCAGTGTGGTTGCTCATCAGCACGAGGGGCAGTGTGAGGTGCTGCCCCGTCACCTCCCAGCAGGAGGTGACAAGGACCTGAGCTGGAGTAGAGCCAGCAGGAAGGTCATGTGGTACAGGAGGCGGCCAGGGCCATCTTCTGGGCAGGAGTGCAGCACGAGTGTGGCAGTGGCCAGCTGAGGTGGGGCAGGCGCCCTTGACGGTCAGCACACAGGTGACGGGTGCTGAGGCACCCACGAGAGGGCCCTCGTTGTCGACGACGCACGCTGGGCCATCATCTGCTCTTTGGAAAGGACCCTGGGACAGGAGGGCTGTCTCACAGCAACAAGCCATACGGAGACATTCACGGCTGTCACTCAGGACAGCCAGGCCTGGGGAAACGTCCAGCAGCTGTTTGGTGGGAGCCGTGGTGCGGGGCAGCGGCGGACGCTGCAGGGCCATAGGCGTGGGCAGCAGTGGCGGCCTCCACTGCAGTGCCAGACACAGAGCACGAGGGCCAGAGACCCCCTCTGGGAAGCGGGCCCACCACGGTCTTGGGGGCTGCAGGCCAGAGTCAGAGGAGCATGAGGAAGCTGTGTGGTCACCGGGGAAGTCAGTGGGGGAGGGGTACCTGTTGCAAGGATGGGAGGCCTAAGAATAGGCCGTGTGGCGGCTCCCCGCAGGCTGGGTCCCAGCACGTGTCTACCCGTGTGCTGCTCTGGTTACGCTGCCTGAGAGGGTCTTAGGATGACAAAGGAGAGAGCGCTGAGGGGCCTAGAGGCGGGCAGGGTGGGGGGTGACCGGCCAGGGGCAGACGCCCACGCTAGCGTTTCCAGTGGCCGTATGTGCTCATGCCTGACCGCTGTCCTCCTGCCTCAGCTCTCAGGGCCACCCGGCAGCAGACAGGGGGGCCTCATCACGTACAGCCTCTTCCTGAAGACCCCCTTATGTGGAAACGGGCAATACCTCACCATTCCAAGGAAAAAGAAGATTTTCACTCCACGAAACCTAAAAATGACATTCTTCAATAGTGATGTCTGCTAAAAATGAGAGTACTTTGTAACTTTATGAAGAATTTTACATTTTCTTACTAGTTTGGTTTGGTCCTAGAAACCAGAACCATTATGCAGCTGCTCACCAAGTCCCAAGTCAGCATCCTGGGCTCTCTGGGGAGCCGGCCTGTGCCTGACGCTCGCCTCAGGCCTGGTCAGGACACCCACGGCCCCTGCCCCGCCTGGGTGCTGCTGGCACCCGGTCGGGGGTGCCTGGGGATGGACCCATCACAGTCAGACCCGTGAGCGCAGAGAGGAGGGAGACTGGAGCGTCACTGGGGAGACGGCTACGGAGCGCTCAGAGCCCTTCCGTCCGTCCCACTCTGCCCCTGCTCGCGCCCCCGCCCTGCGGGACAGGCCTTTCTCCCGCGTGGACGAGACGCTGCACAGCCCGGCAGCACTGGCCCGAGAAAGCCCTGGCTACCTGCTGAGGAAACTGTCCTCTTCCGAGGGCTGAGCCAAGCAGTCAGCACTGACTTTTGTACAATTTTACTAAATAAAACGGCCTGGATACGCTTGTGCTTGGTGAGGCTGTGTAGAGGCTGATGCCTCAAATCCTGTCCCCCAGGGGAGGCCTGAGGTCTAAGCAGGGGGCTGGCAGACAGTGACCACCTGGTGAGGGCCGGGGTGCTCCAGGTGGGACACCCCGCTGTCTCCGTTCCAGCCAGGGCCACAAGGAGGATGCCAGGGTCCCTGTCAACTCGGTTGTCAGTGGGGACTCGTGCGGTGACGGGCAGGGTTTTGTCCCTGCACAAGCCTGTCTGGCCCTGGCCACCCACACCATGCTGCACCCGGCTTTGAGGTATAACGAAGGGATAACTCAGATTTCATTTTTGGTGCCAGAAGCTTGGAAAGCTGCTTTGATTTTTCATTTCTCACCTGAAGAGGGTGTGAATTTGGAGACTTTCTAACATGCTGCTTCCTTCAAAGGCACTGTCTTTTGGGGGCCCTGCCAGCAGGGGCTCTGTGGCCATGCCCTGGTTTCCTAACCTTTGGTTTCAAAGTTAGGCTTCAACAAGCCAAAATGTTCGATGCTGCCTCCTCCCACTCAAGGGTTCAGATTCAGGCAGCTGCCTCTCCTCCCGCCACTGGCCATCCGTCTGACCCGCAGGCCTTTCTCCTGACCTCACGGCGGGCTCCAGCTCTGTCCTCACCCCCACCCCTGGCCCCCTGCACCGACTTCTCTTCTCAGTGTCCTGTCAGTACGTGTGGTGCCACCCACACGGGTCCCCAGGCCGGCATCCCCGAGTCCACTCGCCACAGTCTGGCAGTGACTGCCTCCCAGACCCAGCAGCTGTCCGAGGAGGGGCTGCTTGAGCCGGGCAGGATCTGACGGAGGCCAGAGCCACTGGTCACCTCTGGTTCAGATGTCCAAGTTGTAAGAGACAGACCAGAACAAGCCCAGTATGATACAGAATCGTGGTTCAGACAAAGCAGAGCTAGTCTACAAAGAAACCTAAAATGACTAAACAATGAGCCCTTCAGAGAGAAGGGGCCACAGCTGCTTCCCTCCCCAGCGGGGCAGAGGCCGGAGCGCGGGGCAGAGGCCGGAGCGCAGGCCAGTGCTCACCTGCCAGGGGCAGGCTGGCAGTGGGGAAGGGGAGCCAAGAGATCCCCCGGTGCATGGGGCCTCCCCCAGGTCGAAAGCAGCCTCCCTCAGCAGGTGGCGGGCAGGGGAGCCAAGTGGGTGGGAACAGCCCCCAAAGGCGGAGGAAGACGCACAGGGCGAGGGGTGGCAGTAGACAGTAGAGTCCCAAGGTCTGGGAATGCAGCCGGCAGCGCCCAAAGCTGGTGGCTTGGCTGTCAAGTACAGATGCCACCCTCAAGACATCTGAAGTCCCAACTAAAGCTGCAGCAAAGCCAACTCCAGCTCCAGGGAGGGAAGAGCCACTCAGTTGGTTTCCACTCTGGTACCCACAGAGCGAGGTGCGTGCCCCTTTCTGGAAACAAATATCATTTGCTTCAGCCTCTACAAGACGTCTGGCCTGCAGTAAGATGTTACAGGACACACGAGAAAGCAGGAAGACGTGGGCTGCAACGAGCAGCGCAGAACCAGAGATGGCCCTGGCGTAAGAGACAGTCGAGGGCTGCAGTGAAGAGGCGAGGCGGTGGACACGTTCGGCAGGAACAGGGAAACTTTTAAAGAGAAAATGAAAATGCTAGAAACGGAAGATATAGTATCATAAATGAACAATTTTTTTTTTTTTTGGAGACAGGGTCTTACTCTGTTGCCCAGGCTGGAGGGCAGTGGTGTGATCATAGCTCACTGCAGCCTCCAACTCCTGGCCTCAAGCAATCCTCCTGCCTCAGCCTTCGAGTAGTTGGGGACTACAGGCATGCGCCACCACACGCAGCTAATATTTTTGTTTTTTGTAGAGACAAGGGTCTCGCTGTTATCTGGGCTGAAGTGCTGTGGCGTCATCATAGCTCACTGCAACTCCCAGCTCCTGGGCTCAAGCATCCTCCTGCCTCAGCTCCCCAGTAGCTGGGACCACAGGCGTGAGCCACCACGCCCAGGTGTGAATGACTGAGATGGCCTTAACAGCAGACTGGACACTGCAGAGGAACAATCAGTGAACTCGAAGACTGGTTAATAGAAAAGATCCAAACAGAACATGGAGAGGAAAAAAGCACAGAGAAAAAGTAACTGTGTCCGAAGGTCTGTGGGCCAATGTCAGATGGCCTAACCCAGGTGTAATTGGAGTCTCGGAAGCAGAAACAGAATAATGAAGAAATGCAGCATGTCCCAAAAGTCGCCATACATGGGATAGGGGAAATGGCAAATTGTAGCTACATGCAGTCTCATTTGTAGTCTGCATACAAAGGAAGAATTCTGTACAATTTTGTAATAAATATTTTGTGAACAAAGGTATATTTATAGGTACAATGTCCCATCTTCCCTATGTATGGCGACTTTTGGGACACCCTGTATTTGAGGATTTAATGGCCAAGAACGTTCCAAAACTGACGAAAGATGCTAATCTACAGAACCAAGAATCTCTTTAACCCCGAGCTGGTGACACATGGAGAAAACTACACCTAAACACATCCTTCGGGTCTTAGAAGCAGCCCGAGTGGAAACAGAAGATTCGGAAGATTCGGACGGGAAAGCAATGATGGAGCGGCGGCTCGCGGCTCAGCAGAAACAACGGCACCATCCCTGAAACGAGAGGCTGCCACAGCTTCACGTTGTCCCGCTTCCTAAAACAGACGCGCTTACTTTTTAGCCTTTAAAACCTCAACTCACTTCCAAAGTGACGGGCTGTGAAGCTGCGCTCAACACGCTGCGCACGCGAGGGTGTCCCCCACGCGTCCCTAAGCGTTGCCACCTGATACTTAGGTGTGAGCTCAATAAACACACGTGTGACTAACTACCAACTAAGGTAACAGCTAAGTGCCACTCACCTTGGGGCAGAGGGGAGGAGCCAGGCCTTGGCCTGAGGCAGATCCCAGGTAACGGTGCAGAAATTCTAGGTGACCGAAATTTATATCTGCTTCTGGATAAACATTTTTTAAACAAAATTATTAAACACTTGGAGAATTTGTTTCCAAAGACCTACATAAAAATGCCACACACACATCGATGAAACTTACAGATGTTTGGAACAATGACTGCTCACCTGCCGCGCACTGCAGCAGAAACAAGCGTCTTCTGCTGCACGAGTGGGACAGACCACGCGCGCGAAGAGCCAGGGGATGAGCCGCGGCCTGAGCTGGCTCCTGGCCTTCGGCAAAGGCCACGCGTCTCAGAGCAGGCTCCGCAGCCCCAGCAGCGCCCCAGCGCGGTCCGTAACGCAGGTCGGCTCTGCTGCCCGAACGAGCGTCGCGGCGCCGGCACGCTCGTCCAAGTCACACTCTCCGATAGTTTGTACTTTTGAAGGCTGCCAAAATCGACACTGCGGCTACCACTGAAACTGAACAAACGATATTTCTAAAGGACAGAAATGTTTCTATAAAGAAACAAAATACTCCTATAGGTTTATTGCTGTAAAACACATACCCTTGAAACTCGTTTCCATGAACATCAGCACTTAACACAGGCGGCTGTCAGTGCGCGTGGAGACCCACGGGAGAGCCAGGCCTGCCCGCACCCGTCAGCCTCTCTGCAGAGCCCGTGGGTCTTAGGCTGTGGGACCGGGAGTGGCAGGGGCTGGACAGGCAGGGAGTTCAGCTGGGAAGCCCTGTGGTCAGGAAAGGAAAGCAATCCTTCGCCTACTGACCGCGTCCCCGTGCATTCTTCCCACTCTACCTACGCACCACACGGGAAGGCCAGCCTGGGAGAAGGAGGTCCACTGCTGTGACACAGGAGATGACACATTTCCATTCTGTTTGTTGGATAATTTTTAATAAAGTGAGGCTTACATCACCAATATTAAAGGATGGTCATATGCACAGCAGAAAACAAACCTTTTTGGCCAAGGGGTAGGGAAATTAGAAAAAGCATGGCAAACAGGAAACACGTGGGTGGGGAGGGGAGGCAGGGTCTGACAGGTGCAAGCCCACCCCCCACTGCCTATGGCAGCACCGTCAACGGCCCTTAAAACCAAGGGCCATAATTACACGGATTCAGATTTCTTTCATTCTGAACTTAAACTTTTGTCCCACCCAAGGGGCGGAGTCTCGGAAGAGCAACTGGTGCCCATGATTTCCAAACAAATCACTGACCTTCACCTTCAATGATGTTTACATATAAATAGGCATAAATAAAACCCTCCATAATTTACGCTAAAGTCTAGAAAGACGGCTCATACGGTAGATCTCCTAATGACAAAAGAAAGCGTAGTGGTTGTACATGGCTCTCGATTTCAATCGCGCTCTAACTGTAGCCCGACATAATGCAGAGGGTCACATAAATTTAAAGTAAAAACATGATACATTTACACTGTTGACTCAGAGTGTAGTGAAGCTCATTGCAAAAAAAAATCCCTTATTTGAACCTTAAAAAAATGAAATGCACCAACTGCAATTATTTTGCTATAAAAGTTTCTAATGTAGCAGCAGCAGATGTTTATAGAAAAAATATACTTTTAAGAAAATAGCTGAAAAAATCTAAAGAGGTAAAGTATAAAAAGTTTAAAAAATATCTCTTAAGGCAAAATACTGCCCAAAACATATAAAACTTAATTTTTAAAAATTCACCTATGTAAATTTAGACGAGGTTGATGCAGCTTGTGGCTCGCCGTCCTCTGAGGTGGCTGCAGCTGGAACACAAAGGGACAAGGGGCCCGCGCTGTGGACGCGTCGGGGCTGGCCTGAGGCAGGGAGCCCGTGAGGCCCCGTTTTGCTGCGGCCAGGCTGGGCGGCAGGCCCCGCTGACCCACCGGCTGCAGAGAACACTCTTCTCGGGATCGAGCGCTCGGTGCGTTCAGGCGGCACAGAGCGGCGAGCACCCAGGGGCGGCAGTGGCCCGGCCTCAGGTCTCCACCAGGATCTCCACCACGTGGTCCAGCTCGCCCAGGTCCGACTTGCAGCTGGAGCTGGGGGAAGGGGTGGCCACCGGGCCCAAGCCCTGGAGCCCGTCACAGGGGCCTGGCTCGGCCCTGCCCACCACCCCCGTGAGCACCGTGTCCAGGTCGTAGTAGGAACTGTCCATGTCCGAGAACAGCTCTTCCGCGGAGCCGGGGCTCCTGGTCTCCAGCGTTTCAAAGATCTGGTCTAGTGACTTCTGGAAGTTTCCCCTGTTTTCTCGAGGGCCGTCCATTTCCCAGACGCCATTCTGTGGGTTCCTTGGCGCCTGTGTTGAGGGGACCGTGGAAAGTTCAGAAACAGGGCCCAGCACGTGGTCATCTCCCATGCCAGGAGCGGGGTGCAGCCTGTCCTGCTCCCGCGTCGAGCGGCACAGGATCTCCGTGGAGACCAGGCGGTCGAGGGGAGCCCGCCCTGCACTCTGGGGCGCCACCACACGCCACGTCCCGTCCTGGGTCATCTCCTCCTGAATCTGCCGGACCGTGTTGGCTATGAGGACTGAGCGGCAGAGGTTGGGCTCGACCAGCATGTGGCAGAGCTGGAGCTTCACCAGGGACATGTCCAGGAGCGACTGCCGCTGCAGGCTGTAGGAGGGGATGGCCTTAAAGCCAGCCAGGGCTCCCCCCACGTCTTCCTCGTGGTCAGCACACTTCCTCTTCAATCCGCGTGCAAACATCGTGCCCTGCCGAGACCAAGAAGATGCCATTTAGCACACAGGGCAGACTCTAGCGGACGATGCCCCGCGGTCTGGTCTCTGACTCCGAGAAAGGAGCAGGGACGGCCTGACAGGCAGCGAAGCGGGGCTGGGAGCCAGCTCTCCCTCAGAACGGCACCCTCCCGCGTGGACGTCTACAACCCAGACCAATCTCCAAACTGCAGAACAACTTTCCCCAGCAGAAGAGATAGAGGGACTAGAAATAGGAGAAATACATTTTTCAAGAGCTAGGCTGAAAGTCAGTTTCACAAATCGAATCATGGCACCTCTGAGAACGGAGACTCCAGGGAGGGAGACAAAGGCGCCCATGCAGCCCCGCGGAGGGCGTAGGGGCAGGGGCAGGGGCAGGGGCAGGCGCCTGCCCTTCCAATGACTCCCGTGGGATCCTGCCTGGGGATGGCGTCACATCTGCATTTCGGAAGGGTGAGTTGCTTCCCTCCTCAGCGCCCCCACGCACAAGTGTCCACAGGGACTGCAGACAGCCCCTGGAGAGCCGCACCGCCAGGACACGCAGGCCGCCCTGCTGGGTGCGCCTCCCCAGTGTGGGCAGCTGTGCTCTGCACCACATTCTAGAAGCGGGGGACGCAGCGTCCCCTGCAGAGCCCACATGGCCTTGAGCAGCCCCTCGGTCCCACGCTGCTGCAGCCCACCCACTCCGCCTGCCTCAGGGCTCACATGGATTCCTTGGACCCCCAGGTCCACTCCTCCCAGGGTGCAGAGCCTCTGCCAGGCTGCTTTCTCCCAGCACTCCTCAGCCCCGATCCTGTCCGTCCTCAAGCTCCCTTAGGCACAAGCTTGTACAACCATGGCCTCAGAGGCCACCTCCCCTTCTCGAGGCCACCTCCCCTTCTCCTCCCAACTCCTTTCTCTCCTCAAAGCAACCGAAACACTTTAGGGTGTGTGTGTGGCAGTGTGCAGCCAACACAGACGTTTCTCAGCCGTGTCTCAGAGCACTCGTGCTGCGTGAAAATGCAGATTCCTGGACCTTGCCCCAGACCCAGGCAGCCCTGAGGTGGCACCTCTGAGGCTCAGCCTCGGCGTGAAGGCTCCGCCAGGTGCACAGCGCACATGTGCGGGACGGACTACCAGCCCTGTCTCCACCCAGAAGGAACAACACGTGGAAACTGATCTTTTGAACTCACCCTAAACTGGGAGATCTTTGGGGAAATACAAAGCAGAGCATAGAGGAGGGAGGCTGTTGACGGTGCCACCTCTGGGGGACCTGGGGGGGGCCACTTGCCGGCGGGCTCTGGCACAGGGCCAGCATGCCCCCGAGAGCGGCCCTTCCTGGAGCAGACAGTTAAGCCCTGATGCACTATCAAGTTTCTCTCTCCTCACGTTTGTAATGTAGCTAAACATTTTTATTAATAATTCGAGTTATGCATAAACAGGATTACAATCTTTTAAATATGCAAACTTTAACACCTGCACCCGAATGTTTATAGCAGCACAATTCACAATTGCAAAGATGTGGAAACAACCCAAGTGTCCATCAATACATGAGTGGATTAATAAAATGTGGTATATGTATACCATGGAGTACTATTCAGCTTTAAGAAACAATGGTGATCTAGCACCTCTTGTATTCTCCTGGATAGAGCTGGAGCCCATTCTACTAAGTGAAGTATCCCAAGAATGGAAAACAAGCACCACAGGTACTCACCATCAAATGGGTTTCACTGATCAACACCTGAGTGCACATATAGGAATAACATTTACTGGGTGTCGGGCAGATGGGGGGGGAGGAGGGGACGGGTATATGCATACATAATGAGCGCGATGTGCACCATCTGGGGGATGGACAGGCTTGAAGCTCTGACTTGGGGGGGGAAGGGCAACATACGTAACCTAAACATCTGTACCCCCATAATATGCTGAAATTTAAAAAAAGGAAAATAAATAAATAAATATGCAAACTTTAGAATTTTTTTTTTTCCCCAAAATCAACCTAATGGTTCCCTGTGACCAGGGCATGCCCAGGTGCTTCTGGAGAGCAGGCGTGTGCTGTCCACCTGGCGTCTGGGGAGGATGGGGCGTCTCCCAGGGCTAGACAACTGGCTGCCAACTGCACCGTCCCAGGAGCTCCCCCCAAAACTACGCCCTGCTGGTCCTACCCTTGGATAGACAGAAAAAAGAGGTTCCCTTTTCCTCTGACTTTCCTTTCGATGTCACAGATCTCATCTTTTGTGCATTTAACACTCTTAAATTTTACAGTATTAAGTGACCTCTTGAGCAATTATCCCAGAGAAACGAAAACCAACGTTCACGCAAAAACGTGCACGAGAATGTTCACAACAGCCCCAAACTGGAGAAGGTCCCTTCCACTTGGGGTGTGGCCAAACTGACCCGTCCACGCCCCGAAATCCTATTCGGCGGCAGAAAGGAATGAACTATGGATACACAGGACCATTTGGACAGATCTGAAGGGAACTGCGTGTGGGGAAGCAGCCAGCCTCCGAAGGTTCTGTGCTTGCTGCATGGTCCTGCTTATGTGACACTCCTGCAGTCACACAGAGCTGAGGGCGCGCGGTCAGAAGAGGACATGCCTGGGGAGATTTCCACTCCTGCACTGTGGGGTGCTCCCGCCAGGCGCTCTGACTGCGCAGAGCCGCACACGCACAGCCCCACATCAGGCCGCTCGGACCGGGCTGGGCCGCCGACCGGACACAGATGCCGACCCTGGGGGAGCAGAGGAGGGCCCCAGGACGTCCTGAACACTTCTCTGCAACTTTCTGTGGATCTGTAACTATTTCAAAGTGAAAAGGTGAAAGGAAAACTAAGAGGTCACAGCTTATTTTCCCCACAAGGACTAACTTCCCCCGAACAGCGCCACACAGCCCCTCAGGCCAGAAGCCATCTGTCAGCCTGCGCACAGGCCCTCGGCTGTCTTTAGGTGAATGAAGGGAAGAGCTTACCACCAAAAGAAGAATGTTTCAACATAGTCTCACTTCCAGTGAGTACTCAAGCTGTTTGTCTTGGTTACAAATTTAAATTTTACAGTGGACTTTTTGTTTTTAACCAAATCGCTTTTGTGAGTCACTGGCTTAAAATTGCTAAGTGTACTGAGAATTAATGTACGACTACATCAAGCTATAAAACACACCCTGCGTTGGGGAAAAAAATTTAAGTCCCAAGGATTCCTCGGTGGCAAGCCCCTTTACCTCTTTGGTTTTCTGCATCTCTTTGCAACCATGTTTAAAATTCTGACTCTGCATGCTGGCAGATTTAATTTAGTATACCCAAACTCAATCCACTGAGTAACATGAATTCAGCCCCAGTTTACAGACAGAGCACCCCTGGCAGCCTCCCCATGGCCTCCTTTGACTCCAGCAGCAAGACCCCCTGGCAACATGGGTGGGTGTGAAGGACTGAGTACAGCCAACCCGGGGAGGGTGGGGGAAACCACAAAAGGGTGAGAATAAGAACAGTATGAGTCGGAGAGACCCACAGCTCACTCCTGGAAGCAGCTCAAGAAGTTGCACTGAGCACCGAACGCCCTGCAGGCCCTACTTCCCTTTCTCAAAGGGTCCTTGGAAACCCCAGACTCACCAGTCCACAACTGGGTAAACCCCTGGGGACTGCGAACCCTTTCTGAAGGCCAAGCACAGGTTTCAGAGGCCTCCCGCAGGGGACCCTAAACAGACGAATTAAGTGCTTGGTGCCTGGTGGTGTCAGCAGCCCCGAGGGCGGCAGTAGGAACTGCACATTTGCTGGTAAACACCCCCAACTTTACCAATTCCCAGAGCCCCACAGTCAAAGTCACCTTCCCTTCCTCCCTCTCCTCTGCACCCCACCTCTCCCTGGGACGTGGGAATCTAGTGCACAGAGTGACTGTTCCTATCGTGTCCGAAATTCACTCTTCGGCCGGGCCAGACACCCTACTCTACTGTTAGCCTTGTTTCACCACCCTCAGATGCAAACATTCTTTCAAGATTTAAAATAAACATGCTGAGGGTATACACTATGGTGTGTTCTGACAATGGAATACAACTCAGCAGCAAAAAGCCCTAATGCTTTACGCAACAACATGGATGAATCTCAAAACATCATGCAAAGAAAAAGAAGACACAAAAACATGTACTGTAGGACCCTATTTACCTGAATCTCTAGAAGAGGCGAAGGTGATCTAAGTCGTAAGAGCACGGAGGGGTCGCCACCTCAGGGTGGGAGATGTGACAAGGGGCAAGAGAGAACGCTCCAGCACGGTGGAAGGGGACACCATCTACGCAGGCGCCTGTGTCACAGGAGTCCATGCATTTGTCACAAGTCACTGAACCACACAATTAATGTCTGCTCATTGCACTGTATTAAATTATACCTTGATTATAAAGAAAAATAAAATGCTGACAGATTTATTGCTACGAAAAGGAGTAAAGTTCACAGGCAGTTGTTACATTGTACAACCCTGAAGACCTGTCACCCAAAACCTGTGTTGAAGAGTGAAGGGACAAGGCTAGGCCCAGAAGGTGGCCTGTGAGGGCCACCTCACTCAGGTATTTGTGTTTGGGACAAAGCCAGCAGGGTGTCGTCTGACTGGCCCTAAGAGATACCCAGAGCAGAGGTGAGGAACAGACCCTCCAGGGTTGGGCACACCTGTGCCCACCTGTGCGACTTTGGCTTGAGGCTGCTGGATCCTTTCTGATACCGGCGGACAAAAAAAGGCCCTACACCTCTGAGGCTGCAGAGCTTGGCCCCTGCCAAGTTGTGAGGGAGGTCTTTCCACGCATCTAGCTAAAGGCCTAAAATCCCGCCAGCTCCTCAGGGATTAAATGGGACAGCAAGGCTGTCAGGGTTTACCTCCAGTCCACTCACAGCACTGCCCTGTGGCCTCTGGACCAAACACGGGCCAAAGAGAGAAATATAAAGAGGCCCAGACAGACTGAGGACCTCTGACACGTCCCACATGGGGGCGGATGGAGTGGCCGGACTGGCTGGCTCAGGGTGAGGGAGCAGGAGCAGAGGCCGGCAGTGGCAGGGGGAGTGCTGAGACGCTCACCTGGCTGGAGCCACAGCTCAGGGACCCTGTCCATCACTGCAGCCCATCTCAAGGGCCCAGCAGTCCCACGGGGCCACTGGACATGCAGCTTCCCAGGCTCTGATCAGCAGGGCGGGGATGGCCGAGGACAGACTCGGCCGGACCTGCAGCCACTGCCAAGCACTCCCGAGTCTTAGGTTTTTAACGCAAATCTACATTAACAATGTTAATTTCTATCACGAAATCGGACTGGCTTTGAAATACTTCCTCAAAGACAAACAGGGAAAGAGCCCGGTATGGCCCAAGTCCCGAGGCCTGCTGCTCCAGAGTGATGGGTATGGGAGTTTGCCCTTGATTTTCCATAAGCAATTACTAAAAACTTAATTTCAGGTATTTTTTGTTACTTGGAACAATACACAAACTTTCTTTTCCCCAGTAACATGTTCCAGAAGCACGTTGAGGGAAACTCCCTAGTCCTCTTTCCAAGGTAAAACCTGCCACTCTTCCTAGAAAAGGGTCATAACTGATTTTTTTTTTTTTTTTTTGAGACAGGGTC